GCTCGACCCACCATAAGCTAGTCGCAACCAATTTGAAGAATCATTCAATCAATCTCCAAATTACTTCAGATCCCAGATATTACGAGAATGACTCGATCAACAGCGATCATTGCCCAATCACAGCACCCAATCACGAGAATATCGTAATTGCGATCCAGATCAATTGTAATGCCCTTAATTTCGCTCTTTTCTTTGCACGAATCTTGTATAAAAACCCCCTCAAACAATGAGGAAGGGGTTACAAATTTCAGATAAGGATTGCATTGTAAGTTCTCACAACAAATAAAAAAACACAATGGACATAGGTTGTTAACCTCACCGAACCACTTTAAAAATCTCTTTGCTTTTAATTCATTTCATTCATATTCATTGCTGATTTTCACTAATCACACACACATCGGTTCCGATCCCGGCAAGGTTGAACTGGGATCTCTTTGCTTCAGATCCCAGATATTACTGGAATGATTTGATCAACAGTAATCACTGTGCAATCACAGTGCCCAATCGCAAGAATATCGGAATTGCGATCTAGATCAATTGTAATGCCCTTAATTTCGCTCTTTTCTTTGCATGAATCTTGTATAAAAACCCCTTCAAATAATGAGGAAGGGGTTATAAATTTCAGATAAGATTTGCATTGTAAGCTCTCACAACAAATAAAAAAACACAATGGATGTAGGTTGTTAACCTCACCAAACCACTTTAAAAATCTTTTTGCTTTTAATTCATTTCATTCATATTCATTGCTGATTTTCACTAATCACGCACACATCGGTTTCGATCTCGGCAAGATTGATCGGATCACTCTAGTTTGTACAGAATTCTATATCAACATGGATTAATTTAAAATTAATGATGAATATTAAAGTTTATTTTTTGGTTGGATATAAAATTACTTTATTATCCTTTTTTAAATGGATTTTATTAATAGATTTTAATGGAGAGTAGGTAATTGTCATTTTCAAACTTTTTTTTTTAGTATCAAATACACGCCAAACCTTGCTTCCAAACTTTCTTGTAATTTTCTTTTTGTTTTGACCAGGTTTGTACGTTTGAAAAAGTTAAAAATTGAGAACGTACAGAACATAAAATTAATTGAGATAAGGCTAAGAAGAACAAATGATGATACATAGGAGAGATAGAATTAATAGAGAAGGAGAGATAGAATTAATGGAGAATTATAAGTTTTAACATTGAGTAATACTGCACTTACAAATATTTATATATAAAGTGATATGTTAAAAAATAAATAAAATAATAAATATAATAATTTTAACTTTTTATTAGACTCTTCCATTCATTTTTTGTTACTTGGAAATCTCGGTGAGATTTATATAGTATTATTGTTTAACATTATCTGCCAATTTTCCCCTCTCTACTAACTTTGCAGGCTCTCATAGCGGCCGCAGACACTTCAACAGTTACATTGACGTGGGCTCTGTCTTTACTCCTCAACAAGCCCGATGTCTTAAAAAGAAAGCTCAGAAAGAATTAGACATTCAGAAAGGCAAGCGAGGGAGTCAGAGATAAAAAATTTAACTTATCTCCAGGCCATCCTGAAGGAAACCATGTGTCTATACCCTGCTGGTCCACTCGCACTTCCACATGAATCTACAGAAGATTGCACCGTTCTTGAGTACCATGTACCGGCGGGCACGCGGCTCTTTATTAATCTTTGGAAGATTCATCGTGATCCTCGTGTTTGGTAGGACCCTTGTAAGTTTCAGCCAGAAAGATTTCTTACTACCCACAAGGAATTTGATGTGATAAGCCAGAATTTTGAATACACTCCGTTTAGTAGCGGCAGAAGAATGTGCCCTGGAGTGTCGTTTGGCCTTCAAGTTATGCGACTTACACTTACTTCTTTGCTGCATGGGTTTGAATTTGCAACCCCGTTTGAGAGAAGGGATAGTAATGACTCTTGTTAAAATCGCTCCACTCGAACTTCTTCTCACTCCACGACTTTCTCCTTCTTTATATGCTTAAATGGATTTAATTCAGTGATAATTGATGTATACTCTTCTATATTTTTTATTGATCAATGATGTGTTTCTGTCGATTTATTCAACGATCATGCCTATGACACCATAAAGATTGGCTACTTCCATGCATCATCGCATGTACCTAGGATTATAGTGGACATGAGTTAATTTGAGCTGCCGAGGAAACCAAACAATAAAACTTAACCTAAGGGATTGACATGACGATGAAAAAAGTTTACTTTCTTTATTGATTTTTTAGGTTCAAACCATCTTGGGGTTATCTATCATATTTATGGCTTATCTGAAATATTAGGTTTATAGAGTATTCAATAAGTCTTGAGGATTAACTGAAGTGTGCGCCATCCAACACTATGGTTAAAAAAAAAAAAAAAAAAATTATGGGCGTGTTTGGTTCATTATTCCTGCCCATATTTCTAATCCTATTCTCCAAATAATCTTTGGCACATTATTCTAGAAATATTACCCAATTTTTTGTAATTACTTTTAGACCCCATAAGGTTATTAACTTCATTAAATACCCCCTAAAAAAAGTTTAAAAAATAACAAAAATACCCCCGTGACCCATACTTGGCAGATTCCGGCAACCACCGTCGGTGGTAGCCGGAATCTGCCACAACGGTGAATTACCGACTGGAACTGGCTGGTAATTCACCGATCTGGCCTTTTTCCAGCCAGATCCACAGTGGATCTGGTTGAAAAAGGCCAGATCTGGCTGTCGTTGACGGTCAAAGATGGCCGTCGTTTTGGTCTTTTTCGGTCGTCGATTGCCATAGCAGGTCGTAGATCTGGCCTTTTCCGGCCGGCCAGATTCGTGGTGGATCTGGCCGGAAAAGGCTATAACGACGCATTACGACACAGATCTGACCGGTTTGTGTCGTAACACAATTTTCTGACCAGATTCCGACAGTGGTGGCTGGAATCTGGCATTGCAGGTGGTAGGGGTATTTTTATCATTTTATATGTTGGGGTGTTTAATTAAATTAGTAAACCTAGGGGCTTTTTTATAAATTTTTAAATTTTACCTCGTAATACTCTCATATTCAACTACCCAATATTATTCTCAAAATTCTATCCAAAATAATGAACCAAACGCATCCTATAAAACTTAATATAATTAACTAAATAGCATCACAATCAACACCACAAGCAAATTGAAGGATTTTGAGGGCACATGGGTTGAATTAATTGGAGATAATGACAGGTAAGCATTTAATTCAAATATTAAATACTAATATATTCCAGGAATTCAACCCGTCCTCTCTTACCATTCGCCGTTCCACGTCAGTTTAGATGCTTTCCAGTCACCAAATTTTGTCAGACCGTCTATTTGTTTGTTTTAAATTATTAACAGATTAGGTATTCTAATATTTTAAAAATTGATTGCTCAGTATTCTTAAACTACCAAAAGAAATTGCAGAAGCAGNTTCTGATTTATAATTCCAGTTATTATTTGACAATCCAAAAACTAAGGGTAATAAGGTCATTTCAACGTTTGAAATAATGTTGGAGCCCAAAATCTAGTAATGGATTCTAATGAAGGGTGAAACGTTGATAGTTTTTGAAATGGAGGTACCAATTGTAGTTTCGCTATAAGGTAAGGAGTTCATCACATCTTACATTGCTAACAAATAACTGAGGATTCAATTCTCACTAAACTAAAAAGATATGTTTTGGGTGAATAACACTTTCATGAAGTCTAAAAACAAACATTGCGGGTCTAGATCGAAGTGAACAATTTCGGCTAACCTACTAGGCCCAAAGTGAAAGGAATTTCGGATTTTTCTTTAATTGGTAAGGGAAGGAAACGACAAGAGCTTTATGAAGTAAATCGAGGCCAAACCCATTAGTACGTTGTGCCACAGGGCAGAGATAGAGATGTAAAATACGTTCTAGGAAGGGGCTAGATCTTCCTTTTACCTAGAAATGGCAACCCACATACTTAATCACGATTCTCTAAAGCGGCTGCTGAAGTATTTTTCCGCACAGCGGTCTTTTCTCTTATTTTGTACTTTTTCAATTGCGTTCAGCTTTTATTACATGCTAATTAGGGAGAAGAGTCGTGCAAATTATCAAAGTTTTAAAACATTAATATTGACATTGTTATATTAACATCCGTGATAATTATTATTATTATTAATGTAATGAGTGTAAGAACGGATACTAGTTTATCTTTTAGTGAGAAAAAAACATATAAATCTTGCCAGTGATGCACAAACCAGCATGTTGTAAGAAATTTGCTTGTTAGGAGAGAATCATAAAAAATGATATCGTAACAGAATTTTTCTCAATAGTTTTATGGGTAAACTACTTTTTTCCACCCACATACTTTTAAAATATCATTTTACTACCAAATTTATATTATGTTTCCGATTTTAGCATAGTTGCGACCCTACACTATCACAAATTTTTTTCTCGATTATCACTCACCAAAACCCCTCAAACCCTATTCCCACCAACTCCACCAATCGTCGACAATCGAGCGATTAGGGTTTTACGTAGTCGTCCCTCCAAAGTTAAATTTCGATCAATCCTAACTATCAAAATTTACCTTCTACCACCAAAAGACTTATTGGTCTCTCCTTTTCAAAAGCCTCAATAATTTGAATAAAGTTTGTTCTCTGTTCGTCATCAGAATATAAATTTGAGTAGTAAAATGATATTTTAAAAGTTTGTGGTTTGAAAAGTGTCATTAACCTATTATTTGGATAGGAAAAAGTCGTTAACTCAGTTTTATATATTGACAAATATTGTTAAGCCTTGCCCCTTAAGAGACAAAATAATTACTGCATTGAGTATATCAAGGGTTCACTTGAGGCACACGAACTAGCAGATAAGAATCCAACAAAGATAAGGATGCCATGCCCATGCCGCTTAATTTAGAAAGGGACTGGATCTTCTTCTTCATTTTTCTAGAAATGGCAACCGACATACTTAATCATAAAAAAGATGGCCGAGCGACACACATTTCTGCACAGTTGTATTTTCTATTGTTTAATTAATACGTGAATACTCTATAAATGGAGATGAAGAGGTCCCTTCATTATAGTTTCTAAATTAGATTTTGATGAAGAGGTCCCTTCATTATAGTTTCTAAATTAGATTTTTCGTCCTGACTCCTTATTTAAACGTAGGTGCGAGTCTCTACTTAATAGCAATGGACTATTTTCTTTCATCACATAAAACAGCTATTGCTGCAATTTTGGCCGTCTTTCTCTACTCTCTGTTATTGGCGATAATAAGAAATTTGCTGAGAAATAGAAGCAAGAAGAATGCAGCACCAGAAGCGGGTGGGGCATGGCCTTTGATTGGTCATCTTCACCTTTTACGCGGCCCAAAACCGCCTCATAGAGTGTTGAGCAACATGGCTGATAAGTATGGACCGATCTTCACAGTCAAGATGGGCGTGCACCAAGCTTTAGTGGTGAGTAATTGGGAGATTGCTAAAGAGTGCCTCACTACCCATGACCAAATCTTGCCAATCGTCCAAAAGCAATGGCCATGGAGCTTTTAGGCTACAATTTTGATATGATTAGCTTCAGCCCATATGGCCCCCACTGGCGTCAAGTACGCAAGATATTAACACTTGAGGTTCTGTCAAACCATCGGCTTGAGAAGTTAAAGCATGTACGGGCATCCGAGGTGAAGACTTCTTTGAAAGAGTTATTTGAGCTATGGATGCAGAACAAAAGCAGTGATTCAAACAAGGTGTTGGCGGCGATGAAAAGATGGCTTGGGGACATAACACTTAATATTATTTTAAAGATAGTTGTAGGAAAGCGTTGCACTTCACAAGAGGGTGAAGCGAGTAATGCATGGAAAGAGGAACTAACGAATTTTTTTGCATTTATTGGTAAGTTCGTGGTGTCAGATGCGCTACCATTTCTGAGGTGGTTGGATAAAGGGGGCGATGAGAGGTCGATGAAGAAGACTGCCAAAGAATAGAGATTGTTGCTCTCAAAAGGTTGAAGAGCACAAGCGAGAAGGACTTTCCAACGAGAAAAGGAAGAGAAGATTTCATGGACGTGATGCTGTCCCATTTTGGACAGCAGATGATGAGTTTCCCGGTCGTGATGCTGAAACCTCAACAAGCTACATTCCTGTGTATGCCTTATCTTTTCCCCAATAAATTTTTTGTCGTTGAAATTTAATTTTCCGCTCGCTCTAATAATCCTGCTTATATTGTTTCATTTAAAATAGCTTTATTTCCGCTAATCGGAAAATTAAAAAACAAAGCTTAGTTTATTTGTTACTAGTATAGATCTATAAACTAAAGGCTATATCTTTGTCAATTAATATTATGCATTCAGTCCAGTTTTATCTTTTTCATTCCACTTCTTCATCATGTAAAGCACTATACGCAATATAATAAACACATAAACGCGAAGCCCAAAGCACCCATCTCTCGCATACAGTACTCAAAGTTCCAAGGACTGTGAAAGAACGCTGGTAAATTAGGAGCCAGGTTCTACTCTATTCAGACCTTATTCCATGTACTCGATGGAAGACTCGTAGACTTTCTTATAGACTACAGTTGACCTGTTTTTAGTTCATCTTACATGTATTTTATGTATTCCCTGGTCACTTCTTGTGTCGTTTCCATCAAGAAGGAAGAGTTTATATAAACGATTACCACGAACAGTTGAAAAGCACCGCTTTATGGCGAAGTTACCTATATTCGTGAAGGGCCATCAATAACTTACAACGAAAAAAAATATATATGTGCTTTGATAGCAGACGGAAGGGATATTAAGCTACATTCCTGGTTTGAAGTTTTGTCATTTTATTTCATAAAGAAATAAAAATCAAGAAAAATGTCGTTGATCTTTGATTATAATGAGTTTGTTTCCATTCTTTTTAAAATTCCAAGAATGTGTGATGCATTGGCGAGATATAATAATCACGAAGGTCAATTCCTTTCCTTCTAATGTCGATTTTTATGTTGAAGACGAAAAAATAAGGATGGTAAATTTATAAGGCTAAGTAAAACAAGCCTTTAGGATCCGATCTCCAGAGAATCTAATTACTTGATATTAGACCCCACTGTTAACATTTTTGTGTATATATATGCTCCAATGGTTTTGCAGTCTCTCATCTTAGCGGCCACGGACACTACAACAGTTACATTGACATGGGCTCTTTCTTTACTTCTCAACAATCGGCATGTCCTGAAGAAGGCACAAAATGAACTGCATGCAAAGGTTGGTATAAGAAGGCAAGTAGAGGAATCAGACATAAAAAATTTGGTTTATCTCCAAGCCATCCTCAAGGAAATAATGCGCCTGTATCCTGCTGGACCACTCTCAGTTCCACACGAGTCTATGGAAGACTGCAGCATCAATGGGTACCATATAGCAGCGGGCACACGTCTTCTTGTTAATATTTGGAAGATTCATCGTGATCCACGTGTATGGTCGGATCCTAGTAGGTTTCATCCAGAAAGATTTCTTACAACCCACAAGGATATTGATGTAAGGGGCCAGAATTTTGAATTTATACCGTTCAGTAGTGGCAGAAGGATGTGCCGAGGAGTGTCATTTGCCCTTCAAGTTATTCAACTTACACTTGCTGCGTTGCTGCAAGGGTTTGATTTTGAAACTCAATCAGATGAACCTATCGACATTAGAGAGGGAATTGGATTGACCATGGTGAAAACAGCTCCACTTGAAGTTCTTCTTACTCCACGCCTCCCTCTTCCTTATATGGTTAAATTATATTCTGAGATTTTTATTTATAAGCTTAAATATTGCTGTACCCAGAATATTTTAAAATGCATGGATGATGTGGCCTTCATGCATACTGTTTCAGGCCTAATTCTATTTAGTTGGTTTAATTATTCGCAAGTTTCCAGGGCTATTGCGTACATGACTTAGTTTTCAGAGGCCATTGTGAAACGGTAAATTGATAGCTAAAGCTTAAATAATCTTGAGGATATATCAGATGGGGTACCGGATTGTATTTTTTTGGGAATCTCAACCCGATCTCCAATAATGAGACTGATGTTCCATCCCAAGTGTTATGGTACATCCATATGCTTACTCTGACTTCTTCTGGTGCTAGATGATCAAAAGCATAACATTCCTAACCCGGGAAACAAATGAAAGCAAGAATCCAAAAATTTGTTGATGGAAGAGCCGAACATCTTTCATTAGAATTTTGGAGATGGCATCAAAGATCAAGTGAATTTTCGATGTTTCGTTCCGGCCGTAGTGATGGTGTAAGCAGATATATATGTTTCAATCGTAAAAGTCTATTATATATTTCTAGTCAGATCAGACAAGAAGAATAGCTTTAGGAGAGCATTTCAGTTGCGAGGGAGACCAGCTTTAAAATAAATTTATTTTAACATGCAAGTATTTGTTAGTAACTGGAAGTGGCATCTTTTTTTTGGCTTTCTTATATTTTAATTCTTTTGTTAGCTTTCAAGTTTTTATAAACCATTTTTAGCATATAAAATATTTGAGACAATTTCATTATGTATTCTGTAATTAATTTAAATTTATTATATATAAACATTTAATATTAAAAATATGATACCGTATAATTAAAGCGTGACTCGTCTATAATGACCCTTGTTTCTGAATGAATTAATCAAATCCAAATTGTCTGTAGTACTAGACGGTGATCCTGATGCTGATGCTCTAACATAGTTGTTCCTAGGCAAAAAAAAAAAGAAAAAAAAATGGCTTTATACTGGCTACTTCAGCTTCAGATTTGCATATTGCAGGCCGTTTCGCATTTTTGAAGAATACTTATTATATTAAATAATGTCTCCACTGATGTTTATATAAAGGTCAAGGCTATCTCATTTTACCAAAACACGTTTAAGGCTGATAATTGGAAGCCATATATGGAGTTCATTTTTGCATTCCTACACTCTTCGCTGGCAGCCCTGTCTTCTTTCTTACTATTTCTCTACTGTCTATTATGGATTTCAAGAAGAAATCAACTGTATAACAAGCGTTTACCACCGGAAGCTAGCGGTGCATGGCCTTTTGTTGGCCACCTTCCTCTATTTGGGCCAAAAAAACCTCCTCACGTAGTCTTGGGCAATCTGGCTGACAAATACGGGCCAATCTTCAGCATAAAGATGGGTGTGCATCGAACTGTGATCGTGAGCAGTTGGGAAATGGCTAAAGAGTGTCTAACTACCAATGATAAAGTCTTCGCCAACCGTCCAAAGATGTTAATGTCGGAGATCCTGGGCTACAATTCCGCCATGGTTGGCTTCAGCCCGTACGGACCTTACTGGCGTCAAATTCGCAAGATAGCCACGCTTGAACTCCTCTCTACCCACCGACTTAAGACGTTCAAACACGTACGAGAATCCGAGACGAAAGCTGCTCTAGAAGAGATGTATGAGCTATGGGATAAGAATAAAAGTAGCACCCACGAAACTAAGGTGATGCTGGAGATGAAGAAATGGTTTGGAGACATAGCGTTAAATGTGATTTACAGGATAATTGTAGGTAAGAGATATGTGGGGAATACAACATCAAGTGAGGCTGAAGAGAAGGATCCGTGGCGAGATTCAATAAGGAAATGGTTTGAATTATCGGGGAAATTTGTGATATCAGATGCAATTCCGTCTCTAAGGTGGTTGGATTTGGGAGGAATTGAAAGGGCTATGAAGAAAACAGCAAAAGAACTAGATTATTATGTTCAACAATGGTTAGAAGAGCACAAGCGGAATAGAGCTTCTACCAAGGTGAAGGGTGACCAAGACTTCATGGACGTGATGCTATCCATTCTTGAGGACACAACAGAAGAGATCGCCAATCATGATGCTGATACTACCATTAAAGCTACATGTCTGGTATGATTTTTGCCTACTAATTAAACTATGTCAATTTCAATTTGATTGATTAGAATTTTAAAATCCACCCTTCGTTTATACAAAAACCCAAAAAATTAAAGTAAAGAAAACTTGATGGCTTCTAATTAACTAATAGTCATTTTCATAAGTAGGCTCTTATCATGGCGGCTTCGGATACCACAACAGTTACATTGACATGGGGTCTTTCGCTGTTACTCAACAACCGTGATGTCCTACAGAAAGCCCAACAAGAATTAGACACCCACATCGGTAGAGAAAGGTTACCAAATGAATCAGACATAAAGAACTTGGTGTATCTCCAAGCAATCATCAAGGAAACGCTACGTTTAAGCCCAGCCGCAGCCATGACAGTTACACATGAGTCTTTGGCTGATTGCACAGTGGGTGGCTACCATATCCCTGCAGGCACACGAATGTTTGTTAATCTCTGGAAAATTCATCATGATCCACGTATATGGCCAGATCCTTACCAGTTTAAGCCTGAAAGGTTTCTTACAACCCACAAGGATTTCGATGTCAAAGGTCAGAACTTTGAATATATACCGTTTGGAAGCGGTAGAAGAATGTGCCCTGGCTTCTTATTTGCATCTCAGATTATGCAACTAACGATGGCTACATTGCTCCATGGATTTGAAATTTCAACACCGTCAGATGAAGTGGTTGATTTGGGAGAGAGTTTCGGGACAGCCAACCTCAGATTCGCCAAACTCGAAGTCCATCTCACTCCACGCCTGCCCCTTCATCTTTACAAGCAGAATGACTAGCTCCAGTCGTATTCCCTTTTTCTATGTCAACGTTGAATTATGAAATTTGCCTTACGAAATATGAATCCTGTAACGCTTGATGAATTACATTGATCGTTTTCATCATGTTTGCAAAAACAGAACCTAGGATAAATCGAAAGTACATTATTACTCCTTATAACTATTATTGCTTAAATTTTTTATTTAAAAAATGGTATCAATATTCTCTTTTTTAATCTTTCACTTAAAAGAGATAAAACTATTATTATTTTAGTTATACCATTAGATTGTAAATTTGTAATATCTCACTCCATTCTAAATACTACAATTGATTTTGAATATTCCAACTGCCAACATTCAATCTAGCATGTTATATATATGTATGGGATGTGTTTCCTTTGAGGCTGTGCACACGGCTACTATTACGAACGACGATAGGCTCTCTCTTATTACCCAACAACCACCGTGCGGTGGAGAAAGTCCAATACAAATGAGATACCCACATTGGTAGAGAAAGCCAATCGTAAAAGAAACGCAGGGGATTTGCTGGATACACATTCTAACTTACTTCCTATGTTGTTCCATGATGAGATCATGATCATTGATCAATGAGGATCAAAACTAGATCAATAGCCAAAATTTCCAATAAGATGAGATATATTGACTCATCACTGTACTACTGCATATACTGTTCTGAATCTGGCTTATATCAAACGTCTTTCTGGAGAGTTTAAAATTTCGGTTCTGCATTAGGACCGTCTCTTCAAATATGGTGCACGTGTTAATCTCTCGTAATTTATGTTTGTTTTCAAGCGTTTCTTTGACGACATGGATTATTAAATCAATTTTTGGAGTAAGGAGATCACTTTTTAGATTTGCAAATCTTCATTACAATCGGATTAGTGGTGGGTGTTCTATTTAAATAAGAAAAAAATAAAAGTGGGGTGATTTCATGTAGTGGGTTTTTCTTATGGTGGAACATCATATCGTGTGCAATTAACTTTTTAACTTATACAGAAGAAAGTAAAACACCGACAGGAGTAAAATTATACTGACAAACCACCACTGAGGGTACAATGGTAAAAGAACAAAAANTAACTTTTTAACTTATACAGAAGAAAGTAAAACACCGACAGGAGTAAAATTATACTGACAAACCACCACAGAGGGTACAATGGTAAAAGAACAAAAATATATCTAACATGATCTCCTATGTTATGAATTTCCTTAATGGTAAAAGAGTAAGAGATAGATTTAGCATGGTCTCCTAAGAAGAAGATCTAACATGGTCTTTCAAAATTCGAGTCTCTTTGATGATAAAAAAGTAAGAGGAAGATCTAACATGGTCTCCGGAGTTTGAGTCTCCATGGCCTCTAAGAGAGGTGCGCGTAAGCTGACCCAAACACTCCAATTAAAAAAAAAAAAAAAAGTTTACTAGCAGCAGTTGATTTCACAATTACCAAATACATCATATAATTACATGGTGGAAAGTAACAAATGGTGACAAATTTTTTATGTCACAAATCCAGCAGATTCAAGTTTTGTCTATGAGTGGATAAAGACCGCACACTTATCCCAACTTTATCAAAATAAAAAGATAAGGATTAAGGAGTGGTCTCCATGTGTCATAACAACTTGTAGAAGCACTCATTACATTGACTTAAAAGGTGTATAAATAAGCATATCTCTTCACGAAAAGAGGAGGTTGGGCATATGACAGCTAGGCATAGATTTGAGCTTCAATATTTCTCTTTGTAAAGCAAAGTATTTCTTCATCTTTGTATACCTTATAGGTAATATCATAAAAATAGTCAGAGAATAATAAAATAACAGTGGATGTAGGGTTTGCTTTAAGCATTCAAACCACTATAAAAACTTCTTATCAGTCTATTATTTATATTTCTGCAACATATATAATCTCAGTACCATATTCAAATCTCATCGATCAATCACGTGTAATTTCTTAGACTCTCTTAGCATTTTGCATGTGCGAGTCGTTGATGTCAAAATCAAGCATCAACAGTTTGGTGGCCCATGCAGGTCTTAAGCCTGCGTCCAAGCTCCCCGATGGCGTGGCCAAATCGTAAATCGCACGCGTCAGAGTTATCCGATCGTGTGGCCAGATCGCATGCGTAAGAGTTCTCCGATCGAGTGGCCAGATCGCTGATCGCACACTCAGATCGTCTTAATCTTCAGCTTCAGATCGCTGATCTTTAGCTTCATATCGCTGATCGCACGCTCAGATCGTCTTGATCATCAACTTTAGATCGCTGATCTTTAGCTTCAAATCGCGTGTTTAGATCGCTGATCTTCAACTTCAAATCGCTGATCTTTTGCTCTCTGATTGCGTGGTCAGATCGCTGATCGCACGCTCAGATCGTCTTGATCTTTAGCTTTAGATGGTTGATCTTTAGCTTCAGATCGCGTAGCCAGATCGTTAATCTCACGCTCAAATCGTTGATCTCGAGTTCTCAGATCAAGCTTCGCGCTTTCTGATCGAACTCCTTGTGTTCTCAGATCAAGCTTTGCTCTTTCTAATCGAACTCCTTGTGCTCTCAGATCAAGCTTCGCGCTTTCTGATCAAACTCCTTCCGCGCTTTCTGATCGAGCTCTTTATACTCCCTGATCGAGCTCCTTATGCTCTCAGATTGAGCTCATAAGCTCGCTCGTTTACTTGAGATCATGTGCATCAAATCGCTCAAATCGCATGCCTCGGACTCTCAGATCGAGCTCCTATCAGATCGCGATCAGCTCCTAGCTCT